TATGCTGTATAAGTGTGTGTGTGTGTGTGTGTGTGTGTGTGTGTGTGTGTGTGTGTGTGTGTGTGTGTGTGTGTGTGTGTGTGTGTGTGTGTGTGTGTGTGTTAGTGTGTTAACCTAGTGGTTAAAGCGTTCGCGCGTCACGTTGAAGACCAGGGTTCGATTTCCCACATGGGTACAATGTGTGAAGCCTATTTCTGTTTTCCCACGCCATGATATTGCTGGAAACTTGTTAAAAGCGGCGTAAAACTCACTCACTCACTCTTTTGTATAAGTGCTAAGAGTAAAACATGTTACACATTGATGCCTATTAAATATATCCTGTAAATAATTCAAAATATGTGATTTCTGGAGAATACTTCAAAATGCGTGATTTCTAGTATGATTTGATGATTAAAAGTGCGTAAGATACCTATCATGTAAATTCCTCAAAATGTGTGTTTTCAGGTCTGTTCCACTTTAATGAAACGTGCAAGTAGCTGTGACCGTCACATGTGCTTGGCTCAACCTTATAGTGAGATCGGTTTTCAGATGTTGTTTGTCAACATCACACCAGAGCTCCAAGGCAGTACACGTCTATAAGCTTCCAGCTGTCATGTAACTTGAATATTATTGAAACTATCGTTACTCGCTTGGAACCCATACTGGATGGTGTCATCTGAGATGAAAATCATTAAAAGACCGTTTACCTGGAGAGCTAGACTTGCACAAGTCTCTAAGGTAATAATTGATAGTTTAATAGAACATTTAAAATATATATAAATAACAGACTGGCATCCATAGACTGTAAGCTTATCTAGTTTAGAATTCCTATACATCTACGGTTTTAGCATTCCGTACAGACTTGGAGCAAGGCTACTGAAGAGCAAAAAGGTTGGATATTCGATCTTCATGTGTATATATACGATTTATGTTCGTCGTATATTTTCTAGTCTGTCCTGCAATGGGGAGGCGTTATGATCCCGAGGGTGGTTGGTTGGTTTGACGCCGCCGCACTCAGCATCTTTAATTTATTGAGCAGTTTGTTTACAAATACATAAGACTCAAAACAAGTTAGGGAACACTTATATACTACCCATCAAAAGTTTAGACTCACTAGTGTAAATGTAGCCACTTACTTGTCCACTGTTCTAAACTAGCTTTTTGCAAAATATTCCATACTGTTTAAAGGTACTGTTTAGTTATGAACTGGTGTATTGTAAAACATATTCGTAACATTGAAAAGATTATTGTCATGAGTTCAGTAAATGATTAAAATCTGTGAAAATTGGCGAATTCTTAACAAAACTTTACACCAAAACGAATCTGTTCACATGCACGACATTTGCTCATGCCTTTCGCAATTTGAAGCATCATCCTTGTGCAATTCATCTGCATAAGGTTTTCAGTTGGTTCCCCCCAAGTTGGTGGAGAAATTCATCTTCGATGTAACCACATACATATACATAACATATAGTGAGTGCTTTAAGTGAGTCTAAACTTTTGATGGGTAGTATATGTTTGCACCTTAAACCAAACAGGTACAGAGAAAGGATACATTGGTGGTAAATTCATTATTTAGTGACTATACAGAAATCACAACGTGAACAAGCGGTGATGCCAATAATGTCACTGAGAGAGTCAGTATCGGGTGTGACCGCCCCTAGCTGCCACACATGCAACACAACGACACCTCAGGGAATTCACTTATGTCTGTAGTGTATTCTGTGGGATAGCCTGCCACTCCAGACTCAGCCATTGAGCAAGCTGACGCAGATCTTGAGGTGGAGGGCAGTTCTCTCTAACACGTCTATTTAACACATCCCACACGTGTCCAATGGGTGCCATATCAGGAGAATATGCTGGTCATTCCATGCGAGTAACATTGTTTTGTCCCAGGAAGTCAGTGGCTATGCGTGCACGATGAGGTCCAGCTTTGTCATCCTGGTAAAGCGCCTGTTGTCCTATTCGATGAAGACAAGGAATTACCATTGGTCTCAGAATCTCATACCTGTAGCGAACAGCATTCAGATTGCCCTTGATGACGTACAGATTGGTTCTGTGATAAAATTAGGCGTCCCACACCATGACTCTTTCACCGCCAAAACGACTGTGTTGACGTCAGCAAAACGTTCACCATGCCGTCTGTAGCCAAGAACACGATCGTCATTATGATGCATTGACAGGGGCGTAGCTACCATTATTAACAAAAATGCCCGGGCTTACACATGATTGTTGATAAAATGGTTGGGCAAGCCCTTAATACTACCCAAATATAAAGTTTTGCAACCTATCGGGCGTACACGGAAAAAAGGCTTGCGACGCGCCTGATTGAGGACCGCGATTCGTCAGAGAAAAGAACTGCTGACCACTGTTGTCTTGTCCACTGTCGGTGATGCCGTGCCCATGCGGAAGAAGACGAGTTCTAACGGCTTGATGTCGGGGCCGGAGGTTTCTTTCCCTCAGATGGTTTTAATGGATTGGTCACTGACGTTTGTTCCTGCAGCATCCATCAGTTGCTGTCGGAGATGGTTTGCTGTGACGGTTCTCCTGCTCAATGCTTCAACAGCGTGGTACAGGTCTTATCTTCCTGTTGTCACACGAGGGTGCCCTGACACTGGTCTCTCGCGTAGTGTCTGGGTTTGTTGAAATCGCTGGCGCAATCTGCAGATGACAGATGGACTAACATTTAACCTTCGAGCTTTAACTCCCGTTGTGAAACGTCCTCCTTTAGCCATCCAATAGCTATCGCTCGTTCTTCAATCGTGAGGTGTCGACGTTGCGGCATGTTCAACAAGTTGATGCAGTTTCACAGCGACCTGCCTTTGTAAAGCCAAATTTCGCACATAAATTGTTTGTGGCTCGTGCTTTATGAGTCCATTATGATTCAGATTCTCTGTTCTGGTCATCAAGTGACGAGAGTAAGTGTAAGTCAGCAGTCGGCCAGAAGACCATTTTCGGCATACCGTTCCACTAACCAATCTTACCCAAGTCAATCGTAAAGTTAAGATCCAAAGTCTAAGTTGCTCATGACCAACTTAGGATCGCTAAAATCAATCGTAGAGAAACCAAAATGGTGGCTTTCATATTCTATATGAAGAAGAAGAGCGAGCATTTCACCGTGAACGTCCCCTAAAACCCCTATGAAATGAATTTGTTTGTTTTTCTGTGATGTAAACAAACACTGCACTTAAACCTTACAAATACCAATGTTCCCTAACTTGTTTTGACGAGGATACCATGGTGATTATGGAAATGTATTGACATTAATACAATTAATATATAGAAACGACCTTAACGATCAGAACACGTATATTTCGGATCGGCTGACTAAAAGAAATTCAGTTCGCTTGTTACTGGGTACATTCTATCCATACTCCTCCGACTGTCCCATCAGTTCCTTAGAGATGTATATATGTGTCACAACAACAAGACATGTTAAATAACTGATACAATAATAATACTCTTTAATTCTCGGAGAGTTGAATATTTGCAAAACATATATGAAGCTATAAACTTACACGCCAAAGAAACTGTAAATTAACAACATCGATTCACTGGTACTTCCCAGCATGGTTGATTCATGTAGTTAATCACAGGCAAACTGTAGCGCAAATACGGTTGCGCAACAGAGAGAAAAATGACCAGTCTTTCCATATGCGAGCGAAGCCGTTGAAACGGCAGGGGTAATGGAAACCAACAACGATTTGATATGCCACGAATGGCGCTGAAAATGTTGAATTAAATATACTTTACGTGACTAATTATAAAAGACGAGGTTGGAAATCTACCAGCACAACCCTGTGAGGAAATGGGTGTCTACCTTTGATGGTGGCGAATCTGGCAATATTATATTTTCACATTAAAAATATTTTTCGAACCGAAGCGGAGGAGGTACGTTGCCAGCCTTTGCTCGCTTCGCTCGCATATAGGAAGACTAATGTTTTTATCTCACTATTATGCAACTCTATTTGCGCTACAGTTTGCCTGTGAGTTAACACAGTACTTGTGTATCTGCCAGCTCATGCTGTATCACAGCATGTTGGCCTAGTAGTTGATGGCCCAAAGGACATATGACGCGTGTTGCGTGCTGTTTTCATCATTCACCATTATATAACATATCTGACAGCTGTCTCTAAATAATCGAGACTGCTCAGACAATCGAATGATTGACTTCATGAACATCTATCTACGCATTATTATACGTCATGATGTTTGAACCAGGTTCTGGGGTCTGACCACGCGATATTTAAGTCACGTCCTGAGACTTGTATCCCAACCTGGAATCCCCGCGGGTTGCCGCTCTGTAACATTATGTAGCCAGTAGGGCCCGTATGTAGGTCACAGCACTTCGCGAGGCCGGTGATAAACTGCACTTGGTCTGGTCTAGTAAAGTCATATTTGGCGGTCGCGCAATTTGGAAAAACAACTGGTTCTTGAATATACGCATGTCACCGGAAATCTGATACTGGAAGTAAGCTGGGTCCCGTCTCGCATGTCGCTCAAAGGGAGCCGTGAACCAGCTTAGTACCTGAAGCAGCGCCTCGCGAGACTTATAGGCCCTATACCTTACTACTAGGATCCGTGCAACTGTTCATCATCATCGTCTTACTCTCGAGGCACAATCAGAACGAACTCCCTGTTGACGTGGATGCTGAATTGGGAACACACCAAATGCACCTATCGACATAACCATAACTCTGTCTTGAGGTTCTCTAGCGACAATGGCACCCTTGGATCTGCTTCAACCATGTTCCAGTTTCAAAGGAGGATAGCTATATATATCATCAATGACGAATGTGAAATATGTATCGTACGTTTCAGATATTCTTTTATATCAAGATTGATAGGGAAACGGGTTTTTTTTCGTGTATCACTTTGTCTTTATATCACTTTTCTTTTTTTAAACTAAGATTTATATTGTCTAAAGCCATTCTCCAGGTAGTGTAACTCGCAAATATCAGATTTCATTGTGTAAAGACATTCGTTAGGTAGTATAATGCTGCCTTTCAACACGATAGCTGTCATGTAACAAGGCACTTTAATGGTAGTGTTTGCCGGTTAATCGGAACAGTTGTCACTTTTTCTCCTCTTAAATCTATTGCCGAGGGGAAAGTACTACACCACTCGGGTTCACTCGGATCGGGCCGAGAGAATCAGAGTAAGTTGATATCCCTCCCGGAATAATCAACGTAATTCGTGAGACGTGGTTACCTCCCTTGACGTTTGACGTGTTGTTGCCTCCCCAGAATAGTCAAAGCTGTTCATCAGAGTGAGAAGTTACCTCCCCTGAATAATCTACCGTCATCCATTCAAGTAAGATTATATCACCGCCTCTGAATCTTCATCAGATCTGTTTACCTCCACTGGAAATCAGTGTCACTCATCCTCAGACTGAGAAATTGTTACCTCCCCTGAATCGTGTTGTTGTGGAAATCGCCTGTAGGTGGCGAATCCTGTTTCCTGTCGCTTAAGGCAAATGTATTTAATTTCCGTTTTAAGGCTTGGCAAAATCAGCCACACAAACGGCAAGATAGCAGCTTTAGACAAAAGAATAAGTATTAAAACGCTCTCTGTCTCATAAAAACCACCAACATCAAGGCTCTCTGGTGGTATAATTTTCCAAATCTGAAAAGGAGCCGAGCACGCAATAGTAACCATACACGGAATTATGAAACAGCGACGAGGTTCAATGACGTCATCATCGGACTCTTCAATCAGCTGTGTCGTCATATTTACATACGACCCTGGTAGGGATAGGGCCCAGGGTTTATAAACCATGTATATGAAAGTACCAATGATAACCAATAGCGGCAACAAGCAGCATATTACTTTCAACGGGATATCCGATTCTAAGCTTAGTATAAACGAACACTGCCATGTTTCGTTCACATAATCGCGCAATCCTAAAGCTATACCAGGTGTGACAGTTAGGAACATGGCCGCCCAGGGGACAAGGGCCAAGGTCAAGTACAGAAGGATCCTTCCACATTGCGATAACCTTGGCAAGCGGGGTCGACACAAACGCACACAGAAATCGACATTCAGTGCCACAAGGTACCACAAGTTAACAAATTGCATACCGAAGTACACAAAAGCCATGAGGATTATCAGAAAGGTACAATCGTATCTGTTTCCTTGGTAATACTGCACTCCACAGAGGCACAGAGTAACTCCGGCCAACATGTCGCACACCGCTGTTCCAACGATGAACCAAAATCGAAGTCGTTGACGAAGTCGTTTGGAGGCGATAATGATGACGCACAAGCCGATGTTACCAATGAAGACGAAAGCCATCAGTATGAAGATTATCGGCCCAATGGCATCCATTGTGCTGCTGTCTTCAATCTGTACTGGATGTAGCCACAGGAGACGGGTTCTTCTAGGAACTGTGACTGAAATATGACATACTGGAACGTTATTAAGTGTGTCGTGAGTGAGTCTAGTTTTACGCCGCTTTTTACAATATTCCAGCAATATCACGGCTTCACACATTGTGCCCACCCAAGTGGGGAATCGAACCCGGGTCTTCAGCGTGAAGAGCGCACGATTTAACCACTAGTCTAACCCACCGCCCCAATTGTGTTACTCAGTGCCTTGCAATTTGTACAACAAGACTGGGAGACGTGTTGGAATGTTTTGGGTGTAGTGCTCCTTTAAACAGTATTTCAGTTCTGTCACGTCATGTCAGTGTCATGATAGAGCGGGTGGCCTGGTGGTTGAAGCGTTCGCTCGTCACGCCGAAGACCCGGGTTCGATTCCCCACATGGGTACAAAGAGTAAAGCCCATTTCTGGTGTCCACCACCGCGATATTGCTGGAATATTGCTAAAAGCGGCGTAAAAGCATACTCATTCACTCATGATGGAGGTCGTATGTATGTTACAATCAAAATGTAAAATAGAATTTTAATCACTTGACTAAAGCTTTCGTCATTTCTTGAAATGACTGGCAGATAAGTCATTTAGGAAATGACTGGCAGATAAGTCATTTAGGAAATGACTGGCAGATAAGTGACTGAAAGGTTTAATCATTTCACGAAATGACTAATTTCAAATTTGACTGTAATATATGCTGAAATATGACAGTGTATTTTACATTACCTGCAATACCATCTCAACAACGCCCGATGAATATTTCAATTAGTTGTTGATTCATAACTTTTATTTATTTTGAACAATATTCTCAAATATGTTATCAAAACTTACCTGAAATCACAAATACCTTGTTAGCATCCTGAATCTTGTTTGTTTGGGGTTTGTTGTTTTGTTTTGTTGTTTGTTTGTTGTTGTTTGTTTTGTTTGTTTGTTGTTGTTTTTTTGTTGTTGTTTTGTTTGGGGTTTTGTGGGGTGTAACATATTTTATTCGAAAATGAAATGATGGATTGGGCACAAATTATCCAACTTAGGTACGCCCTCTCCCCCAAAGGTAGCATGTAGACCTATCATTCACCGTGTAATGAAACCCGATATTGACCTAACTGATGTGCAGTCAGTCCATCATGATAACTTGGATTGGATTATGGTATCAAAGAAGCAGCCCTACGGTGACCCTGAGTTCAATGAACATGTCATCAGATTATTCCGGGACATGTGGCAATCAGTTCATGGTGAACAAACACATCCCCAGAGGTATGACGAGCCAGCTGGGACACTAAGGACGCCGGTGGAAGTCCCGTATTAAGGTACATTGCAAGTGCCTTAAGGACGAACTGAAGTGTAATTGGTTTTCAGACTGTCGTCAGACACAATTACAACAAACCTTGATGTGGTTGTTTCTAACTGTGAAATTCAGATTTTTCATGAATAATGCAACCATAATTTTTAACCACCTAAATGAGTAAATGAAATATATGTTAGTGAGTGAGTGAATGAGTATGGTTTTACGCCCCTTTTAGTAATAGTCCAGCAATATCACGGCGGGGAACACTAAAAAAGGGCTTCACACATTGTACCTATGTGAAATATCTGTCAGAATCTAAACACATACAAAACATGCTTAGGAATGTGCTTAAATACTGACCGAAGTAAACAATTCGTGTCTCCTGGCTAACCACGTTTATGCTCGAAACACTTGAAATGAGCTATCGTCTCGGTCTAAACACAACATTCCCCTAATGTAAACACGTTTAGATGTTAGATGTGTCTTATTTGTAAACGTGTATAGTTTGCCACAATAGAATTTAAACAAACAAGGGTCAAGGAACGGGTTTAGGTTTGCATTAAGGATCAAAACCCTTTTTTACAATGAAGTTTGCCCCTCCCCATTCCACACACACACGCACGCACCTACCTACCTACATACACAACACACACAGGGACACACACCTATCTAACCTTTAATCTGAGATTGTATGTCTTCGATGCTATTATTGTAGTCATTGTGTGTTGAAGCTTATATGAATACATGGCACGGTCCTTTAACAATCAGAGACAGGCCAAATTAGCTTCATTTTGCAAGATCAAAGGATTGTTCCGAGAACCAAGCAGTATAACTGGAATGTTTAATTAATTGATAATCAGCTTTGTTTTCACATAACTCTCTTGTATAGGTTGTCTGTTCAGATATCAGGAGACAGGTTTACTTGGTGGCTGTGTGTTATTTCCAAGGCGCTCACTGACGTATATATAGTGAGAATGTATTCATCTCATTACGTGATCAATACGCACGCAAACACAGACAGACAGACAGGCAGACACATACCGTACATATTCTGTTAGACGTGTCGTGATCACATATTGAGAACGTCAGTGCACTTCAATGTTTAGAATAACTAAAAACAATACAATGGAAATGTTAAACTGCTAAACTGTAACCTGCAATCAGTGGAGCGCGTCCTGCAAAATCTCAGATTGACTGAAGTGTTGTTGCTGCAACACAATATTCCTTTCAAACTGTTTTGGAACGTGAAGCAGACTCAGATTTACTGCCATCCAGAGAATACAGGCTTGCATTCAACATAAATATCAAAATCTCACCAATACTGTTGACAGTCCAAGGAGAAGATCTTACTCTGACCTCTGAGAATACAGGCTTGACATGATCATGTCCGTGGTCCTAAGACTACTTGCATTCAACATAAATATCAAAATCTCACCAATACTGTTGACAGTCCAAGGAGAAGATCTTACTCTGACCTCTGAGAATACAGGCTTGACATGAACATGTACATGGTCCTAAGACTACTTGTATACAACATAAATATCAAAATCTCACCAATACTGTTGACAGTCCAAGGAGAAGATCTTACTCTGACCTCTGAGAATACAAGCTTGACATGAATGTCCATTTGGCCCTAAGACTACTTGCATGCAACATAAATATCAAAATCTCACCAATACTGTTGACAGTCCAAGGAGAAGATCTTACTCTGACCTCTGAGAATACAAGCTTGACGTGAACATGTCCATTTGGCCCTAAGACTACTTGCATGCAACATAAATATCAAAATCTCACCAATACTGTTGACAGTCCAAGGAGAAGATCTTACTCTGACCTCTGAGAATACAAGCTTGACGTGAACATGTCCATTTGGCCCTAAGACTACTTGCATGCAACATAAATATCAAAATCTCACCAATACTGTTGACAGTCCAAGGAGAAGATCTTACTCTGACCTCTGAGAATACAAGCTTGACGTGAACATGTCCATTTGGCCCTAAGACTACTTGCATGCAACATAAATATCAAAATCTCACCAATACTGTTGACAGTCCAAAGAGAAGATCTTATTCTGACCTCTGAGAATACAAGCTTGACGTGAACATGTCCATTTGGCCCTAAGACTACTTGCATGCAACATAAATATCAAAATCTCACCAATACTGTTGACAGTCCAAGGAGAAGATCTTACTCTGACCTCTGAGAATACAAGCTTGACATGAACATGTCCATGGTCCTAAGACTACTTGCATGCAACATAAATATCAAAATCTCACCAATACTGTTGACAGTCCAAGGAGAAGATCTTACTCTGACCTCTGAGAATACAAGCTTGACGTGAACATGTCCGTGGTCCTAAGACTACTTGCATACAACACAAATATCAAAATCTCACCAATAATGTAGGGAGTCGACTGAGAGGATCTTGCTTTTCATGCACAAGCAGCTGATAATTGACCATATAGTTTACAAGGCAGCTATTCTCCATAATGACTCATTCATTCTTGTGATTGTTCCAAAGGTCAAGTATGTTATAGTGTGTTCCGGATATTTGTTATTACATATTGACATCAATTCGGCTTCTGACTAACTTATTAAGCATTGTATGTGTAGATTACGAAGAGCTGATGTGTGTGCGTCAGTTATTTCTAAAATCATACAAATCAATGTTAACATACTTAAATTATTAGCTTTTCACGATGTATCGTTTATACATGTATACGATATGGCTACCCGTGTATCGATTCATGCTTTAATTCTGTATCGATTTTAAAAGTATTTATTTACAAAGTTTTAACATAGCCCGTCCTGGTAACTAGCGAGGTGAGTGAAAACTGTCCTGATCAAAATGATCTAATTCAATGATCACGTATGATTATTACAATCAATACTCAGAATGAAACCAAATTAACCCGCAGATCAATATTAACACAAACTGTAACAACCTCTTTTCTTCCAATCAACATCAAGATATTTTTACCTCCATTTAAAATCAGTGTCACTCATCCTCAGACTGAGAAATTGTTACTTCCCCTGAATCGTGTTGTTGTGGAAATGGTGATATTGTCATATACAAGAAACATGGAAAAGTGCGAATCGCTATACAGTGGTGAGTCTAATGTCCCCGTGCATATGGTACCTTGAACCAAATACATATAGCGATGTGTATAATTTGGAAAAAATTGCTCCACTATAAGTAGATAGTACCAAATGTCCCTCCAAAGGCGCGGTGGGGTAGCTTAGTGGTTAAAGCGTTCGCTCGTCACGCCGAAGACCCGGGTTGGATTCCCCACATAGGTACAATGTGTGAAGTACTAAAAGCGGCGTAAAACTAAACTCACACACTCACCCTCCAAAATTGCACAATAGTGGACGCGTAAGGAGCGTAAATATGTTTTTCAATATGGCTGCCGTGGGAGCCATGTTGATATTTATATTCGGACATAATTTATATTGAGTAATACAGAAGGCATCACTGATGGGAGCAAGCGTGTGGAGTTTCACTTTCTTTGGTCCAGTTGTTACTGGAGAGCAGATGTTTTCGACAGACGAACGACAAAGTGGATACGCCATTTAATCCAGTTTGACTTTCAATTAGATGTCCTAAAAGTGTTCTTAACCCTGTGATAAGGACAAAGTTTTGCGCCAGATCTTGGAAATGTCACTCTGAAACATCACGAAACTTCTAAGTACACGCACGAAAATTATCCACACATTCAAATATATTTAAGCGA